ACCAATTAGCTTTCACCGCTTTCAGTTTTTGTTTGCACATGTAAATCAGCTGATCGGTTGACACATTTGAGAGAGTAACTGAGCAACTGTTCCTAGTCAGAAGTTACAGGATTTAGTCCGGAGTATTATGAAAAGTGTCAACCGATCAGCTGATTTACATGTGCAAACAAAAACTGAAAGCGGTGAAAGCTAATTGGTCGCCGGCAGGTTGAGCCTCCGACACTGCCGACCCGTTCCAGCCCCTACTTTTATAGAGGGCGATTAGGGGAGTGAGTGAGTCTTGCTAGGTTGCCGAGGGCCAGTTGGTGTCACCCGCTGCCGCTTATCATCCGTCGTAGCGCTCCCACCGTTGCTCAACCGTTGCTCCACTGTTGCTGAGCCACCCGCTGTGCCGCCGTCGCTGCCCAACCGTTGCTCAACAGTTGTTGAGAATCACCCGCCGTGCTGCTAGCGCTCCCACCGTTGCTCAACCGTTGCTCCGCTGTTACCGAGAGTCCCCCGCGGTGCCGTCGCCGCTGCCCAACCGTTGCTCAACAGCGCTCCCGCCATCATCCGCTCCGCACGACCACAACGAACGTCACCTCTCTATCGCTCTCCCTCTCCTTGGACATAAGGTTGCTAGCACTCTAGCCGTAGCGCCGTGTGTGTGTGTGTGTTCGAAGTAAATACACGAAAATAGTGTGTTTTATTTGGTGGGGGTTAGTGGGACCTTCCCCGGACTCTGGATCGCCTGAGTTCACCTCAGCCTTTGACAAAACCCACCTCATAATTTAGTACTGAGTTCTAAACATCCTCAAATATTTTGTCTACCACTTAAGCTCTAAATTATTTTTTTTAGCTAATAAAACAGTAGAATTTACTTGAAACTGTGAAAATAAATTAATAAACAAAAAAAGCTACAGCGACTATATCGACTGCACTTAATTAAGTACATGTTTATGTTATTAGGCATTATTGTCACTTATACGCCATGGCAGCCAGTGATTAGGCTGGCAGATTTGTATATCAAGCAGATTTGGGATCGGTGGGGACATTTGAGATTTAATTTGTGTACATTATTACATAAACTCAACACCAAAAAGTTTGCTTTTAATTAGTAGCTACACAACCCGAGTTACTCGCAGCCATGGCATATGAGTGACAGCAATGTCCAACACTTGTAGTATCCTGTAAATTTTTTTGTTTATTAATTTATTGTTAAGCTCTTAAAGCTTAGTTTCCTGTCCTCTAAAGTAACAAAAAAATATATTTTTCAGTATTTCTGTTGCTTGAAAATATGCTTTGGCGTTGATGTAAATTTCTTGAAGAAATATATAGACAGGGATAAGATTTTGGGGCCCCAGACCTAATTTATTTTAGTAACAAAATGTACTTAAAATAGCACCTGTTTGTTTGGGTGGCGGCCCGTTTATTTTTAAACAGGTAGCTGGTAGGAATGGTACGTAAAAACCTTACTTATTTTTCTTAAAGTCGAAGTGCTGCTGAAATCCGCCACTGATATATCCGTAATTACCTTTTTGAATGTTTGTTGATTTAAATACATTGATTATTGACAATGCTCAGCAAGTTAAAAATTTCGACAGATAATTTTATTCTGAAAAAAAAAAATAATAATAGTAATAATAGTAATGGTGAGTTAAGAATTTTTCCATCACTTGTATCCCAAAAACCCAAAAGTAAGAAAATTCGTGCATTTACATATGCCTTGAAAAAACTACTCGTCAGAAGCAAATGCGAATTGTAAACGTCAAATATTTGACAGAACCACAAATCGGAGGAAATGCTCGGTTAATGCGACTTCCTGCCCAACCCACTTAGAGTGATGAGACTTTGCCTTTGCCATAAGCTAGTTGCTTAAATTTATTCAAGTTAAATTTCTACGTTGACAACTTATCCAAATTCATTTCCGTTTTTTTGCTTGACTTTACGTGCATTTATGTATCTTTAGCTTTTCTTCTTTAATTCTTTTGCTGTTTAAACATATTGCGTGACTTGGCAAACATATTATGCTACAGTTGTATATACACACAAACATATAAATAGCACGTATGGAAAGACATGCAGTCATGTTCACCAAATGTGGTTACAGTTACCCTTCTTTGGAAAAATCTATGCCATGCAGCAGTTGGTAATATTTGTATGTATGTATGTTTGTGTAGTGGAAACTGGCAGCGCATAGTGTGCTTTTTGCATCATTTTGTAATGAACCAAAATGTTTTTGGAAGCTAACATAATTCCATGTCACGAAAAAATATTGGCCTTCAGCGCCAATCACTGCTTGACCTTAAAAAAAAAAAATTTTTGCTCAAAAATAGTGTTCTTCAAAAAAACATGGAAAATTCAGCGCATTTGTTCCAAAAAAAAAAAAAAATATTTTTTTGTATATTTTATTACACTAATAATATACATAGACTTTGAACGATTAACACGATTCCGCTGTTTAAAACAGGGGGAAAAAATTAACTCCTCAATTTGAAAAATGCGTAACATTGCATTTTTTATTATTTGCATGCAACGACGCATCCTTCACACAATTGTAGTGCTATTTAAGATCCGTCATTTGAGGCATGGCAATTTTTAGGCCTTCTAGGAGGCAAAATTGTGAGAAGGTTGCACAGCTGCATGCAAATATGAAAATGCAATAAAATATGCATTATTTAAATTAAGGTGTTTAAATTTTTTTTAAGTGAAACTTCTTTAGCGGCGGTTGGTCGGTTGGGAGTAAACTGGCAAATTCAACGGAAATTGCACACGGAAATTGTGCAATGGAAATGATGCAACGGAAATGGTTGGGACGGAAATAAATGCTTCTTGAATGTATGTTATTAATTTAATAAAAACTTGCTAATAAAAGGTTAAGGGATGACACTTAAAAAAGACCAATGCAAGACTGAAAATAAAGGCGAGTACGTACATAGATAAAGAAAAGGATAAAGGCAAAGGTAAAAATAAAAACAAAAACAAAGATGCGTAAAAATAATGGAAAAAATGAAGACCAAGTAAATTTAAACACTTTACTTATATAAGAGCAAAGGTAAAGGGGAATATGTAGATGAAGAAAATGATAAACATAAAAAAAGATAAATATAAAGAAAACGATGAGGGTACCGATAAAAGTAAAGGTATTTATAGAGTAAAGGATAGAAGATAGAGACACATACAGCCGGGCTCCCATTTTCATTTACTTTTGCGTTTTCGTACGTTTTTATTTTTGGGTGCTCTTGAATTCGCAACTTTTTCTTATCGATAAGTTCCATTTTCCACATCGTTTCCAGCATTCTTCAAAGCCATCCCTTGAAGGTACGCAACAATTATCGCACATGTATAGTCCGCACCAAATCGTAAATCTTCGTTGCTTCGATAAATTTTCGTTGCCCAAAACGGAGATATGTATAATAAATTGTGAATTAAACAAATAAAATCAACATAAAAAGTTAATTTTAGGACGCCAAAAATATCGCTAGATATAATGGGCATAATCAAAAATAAATTTAAACTAAGCGAGCTTGTTATTTATGTAAATTTTGCCATTTACTTTTCATTCCACCGTCTCATCGGCCACCAATTTGAAACCGCAAAAATTTTACGTTTTGCGAANTAGATATAATGGGCATAATCAAAAATAAATTTAAACTAAGCGAGCTTGTTATTTATGTAAATTTTGCCATTTACTTTTCATTCCACCGTCTCATCGGCCACCAATTTGAAACCGCAAAAATTTTACGTTTTGCGAATATTGGAGCACGTAATTTTGCGATTTGAAAACTAAAACGCAAAATTTTTGCAAATTCGGAAACGGGAGCGCGCCTGATACACTCAAACTTGTAACTATTTTGGGATTTTAGACATTTTCGGGATTCTGGGGATTTGTCGATATAATAATCGATATTTTTATCGTATTTCTTATCGATATTGTTATCGACTTTGTTTTCGATTATTTATCGATTATTTATCGATCATTTCTCGACTTTGTTATCGATTTTCTGATCGATATTTTAATCGATTCTCTAGCCAATTTTATTATTATTTTGCTATTGAATTTGTTATCAAATTTCTCATCGATTTTGTTAACGATTTGGTTATCGATTTCCTTATCGATTATTAATCGATTTTGTTATCTGTTGTTTACCGAATTGGTTATCGATATTTTCATCGATTGTGTTATCGATTTTCTTATCGATATTTCTACCAATACTATTATCGATTTTTGAATCGAATTTTTTGTCGAATTTGTCGTCGATTTTGTTATCGACATATTTATGATAGAAGCATATGTTCACATATGTGCGTATGTATGTATGTATATGGGTTATGAGGCCAAATAGATACATATGTAACGTAAGTTTCACTTCTCCACTGTGGCCCCGGCGCATTTACTTTTTTTCGATTTTTAAACAGTGCAGTCCTATTTCTCGTGTCAAAATCAATAATATTAGTGTAATAAAACATACAAACAATTTTTTTTTTGGGACAAGTGCTGTGGATTTTGCATGTTTTTTCGAAGAACACTATTTTTGATAAATTTTTTTTAAGGTCAAGGAGTAGTTTCGGCGCAATGCCAATATTTGTACATGAAAGGGAATAACATTGGCTTTCAAAACCATTTTGTTTCATATCAAAATGTTGCTTCTGTCGAAAGCGCTACAATTAATTCGTATGAAGTGTTCAAAAAGCACACTGTGCGACGGGCAGTAATGCAACAATGCATCTGGCTTTCACTAAGCTGTATTTGTATTACAAAGTACGACCATTCTTAACTCGTTCAAGTGTGCTAGGCAATGCTGGGTCAGCGTGTCTTAGCACCATAAGAATTAGCCAACCATGTGTTTGGGCAATATTTTAAGTGCGCACATCATGCATTCAGCCATGCAGCCATGCAGCCTTGGTTGGTGGCAGGCATGCTTGGCGTGCTAGTTGTCGTAGATGTCGCAAAAGCACACATATATGCATGCAAGTGCAAAAAAACAAAAACAAGTTTTGTGCATGCTTATATGTGTACCTACACGCTTGTGGTATGCACATGCCTGGCTCTTACCAAGCTTTCTTGGAGCAGAGTTATTTTTGTCTCGTAGAATGCAAAAATTGTTAAGCTACTTAAGCCAGTATGTGCATATGTGTGTGTAAGTATGCACCAATATATGCCTCAACTTTTGCCTGTGCTGTCTTGCAGTTTGTAAATCCAATCGATAATCTTTAAGTTAAGTGTGCACGAGAAGCGTCAAAGTTTAAAAATATACATATATTTACTTTATTTTTTGTAGTTATGCAATTTTTTACTTTCCTGTTTCTTTTTATGGGTAAAATTGTTGCACTTCTTACCTATTAAATATGCTTTGGCTTACTTACTTGATGTAAACGTGTAATCCCAATAATCCGTTTTGCATAAAAATGCCTTCAGATCGTCGGCAGTGCGCCCGACCACAACATCGGGTGGTGCAACCAGAGTACGCACCAGTAGACACGTTCCAATTACACCGCAAATAATGCCAAGTCGCTTCAGAAGTGCTGCGTCTGTGATTTTCACTGCTTTCGCTGAACGTACACGAAATATCACCGAAATGCTGTGTTGAAAGGCACGTATGGGGAAAAAGAAAGAGAAAGAATGAGAGCGGAGTAATGCATGAGTGCGCGATTACGTGCAGTTTGCGTGTAACTTAAATACTTGAACGTAATTTTAAAGCGAATTTAAATATTTTTTCTGTTTGTAGAGGTGTGCGATTCCATTTTAAATTTATTTAATTTACGAACTTGGTTTGAATGAACTGTGTTCTTAAGTCTATGTGGTACATCCAGTTGGGTTTTATGGAACCCACACATATATTTTTGGAAATTTCAATTCTGGATACCTATGAATTTTTGGTAACATTAAAATTTAACAGATACATTTGGTCAATTGAAAAGCGGACATGCATTTTTAGTAATCTGAAAACTGAACATATATTTTGGAAATTTGAAAATTGAACATAAGTTTTTGGCTATTGCTAGGCGCGCATAAAATTTGTAATAATTTAAGAACTGAACATAAATTTTGATTCACAGAAAACTGAACACAAATTTTGGGTAATTTTAAAACTGAACGTCAACAAATAAGGCTGCGTAATCTGAAGTGTGGGTCGAACTTACCGAAATAAATAAAATTAACGATAAGACGTGACATAAATTTTGGTTCATTATGAAACTGAACATAAATTTTTGATCGTTTAAAAATATGGGATACATTTTTGAGAACTTAAAAAGTGAGCATACATTTATGCGGTTCATTTAAAAATAGTGCATAAATGAATTAAAATGGTAAGCCATAAAAAATATGGACGACAGAAAATAGATGACTATTCAATTAGAAAAAGTAGACCTAAAATGTGAGCAGCAAAAGTACGGTTTTTAAATTAAAAAAATTAAGTCCCAATTTCTAATTACCAACATGTACATATGTATGTCCAAATTTTGAAAATATTAAAGTTTTGTCCAGTTCTTGATTTATTCAAAGTGTATGTCGAGTTTTTAAGTACTCAAAAATTTATGTCCATATGTGAAATTGCCATAAAATTATGCCAAGTCTTATATTACTTACAGGTCAATTCTGGCTAAGATAGTAACAAGACTTTCATAAGAAAGCAACACTTTTGTTATTATAGCACAAAAGGTTTAGAAAAAAACTCTCTCATTTAACGCTCGTGGTGAGAATCTATCTTGAGAGAAACCACTTATATATCGTTTATCTTTCCAACATAAGTCGTAAATCGTGTTTTATTTCATTTTATTTAAAACGACCTCGAGCTCAATAAAATTGTCATTGAATATATTTTTATTTTTATTTAACTTTTATAAACTTATTTGATTTTCTTTTTTAATAAATTTTTTTCTCACTCATAATTTAATTACTTCTTAATTTTTACACGCTATTCTTTTAAAAACGCAGAGATACATATGTCTATAATTACCTGTATATGAATTTCACTTACCGCCAGGTTTTTAACATTAAAGCGCCGTATGTCAGTGAGAAACCGATTTCGCGTAGCCAAATTCGAGCTGTACATGTGTATAGATTCGGATTGGGATACATCACAATAGTCTGCGAAGGAAAAAAAAATACATAACGATAAATGCAAGCCAACAAATCGGTGAATGAATATATAAATTCTGTGTTATTTAATTTTACTAATCCAATAAGGATTTCCAAAAATTGAATGAAATTTATGCAAAATGGCTGTGAATGTAGAAATATCGGACGAAATTTGCAGTATATTCGACAAATTAAGCAAATTTTCTTAAAAAGTTCATTATGCCGTCAAGCGTAGTTGAAATTTACCAGAGCGAGATAGCTTTGATAGTACCAAACTAGGGTCTGGTATAGTAAGGGTTTTTTCGACTTTATATTCACCCTTGTAAAGAAAGTCTTACTATCTTCGGTAAGAGGTCAGGCTGTTCCCCAACACTAGAGTGAAAATTTTAGGATTTTTAATGATTATTCAGTTGAACTTGATGTTAAACAGCCATTTATTTTCTGCGCTATAATAAGTACAAGCTACTGATTGGCCTACTCTATCCAAAATAGCACTTTTTTTTGATTCGCCATTTGGTTTTAAGGCTAAAGGACTAGAAATATTTTTCATTATTTCTGTGGCTTGAAAAGGTACATTGCTCACGTGAGTGTCGCGGTATAAATGCCCCGACTGTTTGCTTGACGACAGGAGATATAATTATTCTTATTCTTGTCAACCTCTACACTTACTTGCTTTACTTCTACTTTAAACTTGGAAAAGGCAAAACCAAAGATACGGTTGTTGAGTCATTGAAAAGCGGCTCCAAAATTCTAGAATAAAGTTTACATCTAGGAGAGTTTTTTTCCATGATTCGAAGATCTTAATTCTTTAAGAATTAGATACAATAGAATATGCCCTTGAACTGGTAGAATTAGGGAAATACTTATTGTAGAACTAAATGCTGCCTGGCTCACAACCTAAGTGTTTCCTCTCTGCTTACGGATCATCTCGATTATTTCTTACGGAACGTATATCTGGTGAAAAGCCTTTGAGATAACATAAATGTGCTCTATCTCGTGCAACCGATTGATCTGTGACTGAGTGACATTGGTGTATAATAGTACCATACAAGATTCCCACGTTCACAAGAAATATTTTAAATATATTCGAACTACCAAAAACTAGTACCAAACTTTCCCTGAAGTGGTTCTGAAATGGTCTTAAACTTGTTCCGCACTTTTCTCGCACAAGTTCCGAAATGGCCCGTTACTATTCGATGATGATGATCTCGAACTTTGCCCGAAATGTTAATGATATAGTCCTGAACTACTTTTGAAATGATTCCGAAATTTTTCTAGTAGTCAGAAAATGGTAATCAGATAAGTAATCAGAAATTGTCGAAAATTTCGTGAAATTTTTACGATATGATCTCGAACAAGTCTTGAAACGGTCCAGAAAGTGGTCCTTTATTAATACAAAAATGCTCTTGAACCATTCCTAAAATTATTCTAAATAGCTCTTAACTAACCCAAAATAGGTCCAACATTAGCATGAACTAGTTCTGAAACTTTCTTAAATTGGTTTTGAATTATTTAGTCCCGAAACGGTCCAGAACCAGTTCCAAAATGGTATTTAAATAGTCGAGAAGTAGTCCCAAAGTGGTTCTGAAGAGGTATCGAAATAATCTTCATCCTTCTTTTTGCATGACTTTGCGCGCCTAACACAGTTTTGCTCAAGAATCAATTAATCAGTGTCGCAACATGTTGACTCCTCCTCATTGATTTTATTTCCAATATTTAACATAAGCATTTCAATCTATGCAGGATCCTTTAGAAAAAAAATATTCATAAGATTTATTCAACAAACACTGCTGTATTACATTAATACACTTTTGCCTTTAAGATTTAAGCATTTCCAATAAATTTTTGTTATTTTAAAATCACTCAGATCAGTAAACAATGAAAAACGGAAGTCTTGCTAAGCATTATAAATGTCAGTTTCTGATACGCTTATAAACTTACTGTACAGTAGATGAAGAAAGCTCCCAAAGCAATGACGCGCAACAGTGCTGGGCTGGCGGCGCGGACGACCTGGAAATAAAAAAACAAAGATAGAATGAGCGATATATTGGAACGAACACTAGGTTCAATGTAAGCGTACTACATTGATGTTCGTTAAAATTCAATAACTGTAAATAAATAAATCACTTTTATTAAAACATGTGTTTGTATTTGTTATCTTGTTTGCGTAGATATGTATGCATGTATGTATGTACGATGTTTGTGCATGTGTCATTCCAATAACGATATTTTTTAACAACCTCAGCACCAGCAATAGCCGGAAATCTATAAAATTTATGTTGTTTAGTTTACGAGCATGTCTGGCACATGCATCCGTTTCAATATCTCAAATCGAAAATGCACACACGAAAGCGTATGTGTACAACCATATTTGTTTGTATGTACATATGTACATTTCTATATGCATGTGCGCCTGTCTGCATCCCTTGCGGAGAAAATTACAATTTATTTCTTGTACGCTTGTAGTGACTTTAAAACAACGGTATTTTGAACAGGAAGTGTCAGTAAGATTTAAGCAGAGTAGCGGGAGTCGGTACTCAGTGTAGGTGGCGGTACTCAGCAGTACCGTCTACTATTACAACGTTCTTGTATGAAAATAAATATTTGTTGTCTGCAGGCCCAACGTTCGCAAGCGGGTTCAACGATAGCCGCATCTGTTGGAATATCTAGAAATCTTTCGCCGGTCTGTGTATCAATCTCCATATTTGGGATCCAGGAAAGATAGACTTTTTCTGTGGTTTCGATTTGGAATTTTTAGCCAAAGCAGACTTTTTTTAACAAGGAATATGAAGACTTAAATCTTTCCAACCGCGGGATTTTCGGTTTCTGTCTTATAATTCTTCTGGCGAAGAGCAGTTTCAGATACTAGGAATGCTCCTGCCTTAACATAAATATGCAGAGGGTCCTATTTTAGAGCTGTTTCAGAGACGTTGATAAAATAGCACTGCCGATTTTTGTGGAATTTTTGGTAACCACGGACGCGTAAACAAGAATCGGACGGGCGGTCGTGCGATATATTTATTCTATTATGTATGTATATATCAATGTCCTACCGAAGGTTCCGTCAGGCTTCGATGTTCGGGTTATTTGGCAGATTTGCCGAAAATGCCGAACTATTAGGCAATTCAGAAGGTATTGTATTTGTCCGACAAATTTTGTCGTATTTTACAACAGTTGTTAAAATTTTATTGTTGTTTCGCATCTCTAGAGTTGTAACAGAAATGTCGTAAAAAAGTGGTTAATTTTCATAGAAGTGAATCAGCCAGCAGATATGTATTTGAAATCCTACACTCTGGCAAAATAGCAGATTAGCTCAAGCAACGACTGTTGCCAGAATGTCAGGCCACTTGCTCAATATGGTGAAGACCCCTTATACTTTGAAAAAATATTTATGCCCCTTTACGCCTATGAAAATAAGAGAAACTTTCCCGATAAATTAGTTGGCTACGTTCAAAATGTACTTGAAATGGTGTGCCTGTGCCGAATATAAGAGAATGTTATGCAAGTCTTTAAAATGCTTTTAACGTTAAGACTGCACGTTATCTGCCTTTTTAAACTATGTATGTATGTTTGTAAGGCGTAAAAATAATTTTTTACGAAATAAAAAATAACAGCTTTATTATTTTTGAAACGTAAAAATTAATTTTAATATTCGACTTCGGCTTCGGTGTTCGGCCGAATATTAACAGCTTCGGCCGAAATTCCAGCTACGGTCGGCCACTAGTATATATGCACTATCGAGCTCAGGCGATATACGAAAGAGACGTAATAAGTAGGGACCGAAAACGCGTTCCGGTTTTGGTTTAGTGGTTTAGAAAAAACAAGGTTCGGGAATGTTTCCGTAAAGAACAAAATACAACCAAAACTCTTGGGGAATGTTTCCAATGAAGATATAGAATGAAGAAATGGAGAGCAATATGATAAAA